TATGGAGAAGCCAGTTGAGAAGTAAATAGAAAGGTGGGAAAAGAGTTAGTTCACCGCTGGTAAATCTATACATACAAAGCATCACATGAAACAGTTTTTTGCAGTATTACTCATCATAACCTAATCCACTTCGAATTGTGTGCCACCCCATTTTTTTTTTATATATAGTTAACCTATATTTGAGGCTCTTCTTGTGTGGGGGTGGGGGTGGGGGTGGGGGTAGGGTGGGGTGGGGGACCTCCAACACTAGTTGGTATTGGTCCATGTTTTTAATCTAATTAACTTTCTAATTGAAGTATTTTTTACCATATATAAAATTCGTTGGAATTTTTGAGTCAATGGAAATATGAAATTATTAGGGCATTTCAAATAGGTGCATGTTTGGAATGAATGGACGTTTCTTCGGAAATAACATGTTTATTTATGAAATAATCTTTAAAAAAAATTTATCGATTCACGAAAAGACTCTTAAATACCGATTAGTTTTGCATAAGATTTAACAGGACGTTTAATTAGAATGTCATAATTTGTTCCTATGTTTCGAGTTCGTCGTGGGCTTCGAATTTATGCAAATATCGAAGTATCCGAATGTTGTATCTCGAGAGACTATCAATCAAGAGAGTGCACCGTAGACGGTCCGAAAATATTGTCTTATGCCCTCAGTCGATTTGTCATTTCTTGTATTTTCAATGAAATTCTATATCCAAGGTAAGTGCAATTCTTAATCGGTTCACAGATTGTTATTTGATCCCAACAAATTTAACTAATTAAGATACAATAATCATAAAATTCATTTTAAGTAGCGCTATAAATCCTGTGGTTGAGTGGTATGATATTTAGTTTAACAAATTCCAAGTATTCATTATTTTTTACACTTCAATTATTTAAGTACTTGTTAATTCATCGGGTGTAATATATAAGTAAGCTATTTTAGTATTTGTAATAGCATACAAACTAAATAAAAATTCAGACACATATATATATATATATATATATATATATATATATATATATATATATATATATATATATATATATATATATATATATATATATATATATATATATATATATATATATATATATATATATATATATATATATATATATATATATATATATATATATATATATATATATATATATATATATATATATATATATATATATATATATATATATATATATATATATATATATATATATATATATATATATATATATATATATACAAACCAAAAAACACATAAAAAAAAATATAAATATTTTGATAAAAAAAAAATTTTAGTAAGAGAGAGAGTGAGATATATAGAGAGAGAGAGAGAGAGAGAGAGAGAGTGAGTGTGTGTGTGAGAGAGAGAGAGTGTG